GTTGCCATATCTGACTTGGCCGTGCTGATCCCCATGGAGTGAGATGATCATTTTAAGGAACTTGGGGGGACAACCTAACGTTTGTTGTGTCAACCCATTAGATACTCATAGGCTGCATGCAGACTCATTAGTTAAACTGAATTATGTATTTGCTCTTTGAATGTTATCAAAACATTCAGATCTAGCATGTTTCATGGTCTGCCACTATTACTTCTTCTTTGTACACAGATTTCTGTGGTTACGCCTTGCTTAAAAACCACAGACTTCTCATATGCATATACTAGTTTCGGTTATTTCATAAATTGAAACTATGGTCTCTGATGTCATCCCGATCTTTTAAATTTATCTTACTTTTGATGAAACCCTTTATTGTTAGATTAAAAAACAGTAAATATTTGTTTCAGATCTCATATATTAACTTTGTTTTAAAAAACCTGGCAGCACAAGATTCCTACAGAAGATGTATACTAGCTCACGCATCAAAGGCCTGCAGGCCCCTGGTATGTACCTCCACACTTGCAGTGCCTGCAAAAGATCGTGATCTGCAGTCCCTCCCATTGAGCAGGATGTTCATGGATGGTGGGATTTGATAGGGAAATATAAAAGTAATGCAAATGCATAGAGCCCCTGGATTCACTGCAAATGATCTGTTTTGCTTTGAGCTGAGTCCAGACTACCCTGAATTTTCCTAGAGCACAGGTAGGCAGTGAGACTTGCTCTGAAATCCTCAGTCTCTGTGCCTCCTTTGGAGCCTGAAGCAGTCTGCCTCATTTCTTCTCTTCCACCTTTTGTAACAAACAGACAACAAGAAACTGGTCTTGGAAGAGTTTTGAGATCCCACTACTGTCTTCCATCTGCAGTGATGTTTCTTTGGACTCTGGGGGTGTGCATATCCTTCAGATGTCATCTTCATGTCTTCATCCCAAGCCAATTTTTCAGAGGGACCCCAGTGTCCAATGACTGTAGGAATATCAAGAGCTACCCCATAACCATTCTCTTCAGTCACATTTATCCACCAGTTTGCATGTGCTGGCTGTGCATTTAATGTGTGAATAATAGTTTTTTGTGACTGTTATTCAGCACCTAAATACTTTTGCTGGAAGGAAGGTGGAGGACAGCAGGGTGGGGAGGTTTTTATTTAATGAGACTGTTAGTATTTGCTGACAAGAATCACTGACTATCTTAAGAAAAGGGAATCTGACCTCATTCCAAGTAACTAAACAGGAATTTGCACTGCAGAATAAGTGTGAAGCATGTGTTTTCCAGGAAAAAGAAAAGAGCATTTACAGTCGCGTTGACTAGGGATTTCAATATCTGTGAGGAAACATCAGTGATCACAGTGTCCACATTCTTTATGATGACTTGATTATTTTAGCTTCAAGCCAGTGGAAGCAGTACATGAACACACCCTCCTGCTAGACCCACCTCATGTGAACTTAGCCTCATGACATCTTCTCTCTTGTGCTTCAGATATTCCTAAAGCTTCCTCTAGCCTGGGAAAAAAAGTTAATCATGAAGCAGGTATGCAAGAATCCTGTTCCAGCTGACTGGATTTTCACATGCAGACATTGGTGAGGTCAACACTAGTGGAGTCCTACAGAGAGCATGAGAATGCTACAGATATCTTCGCTCTGAGAGATGATTTGGCAGTCACTGAAGAAGGGTTGGAGATTGAGTCCTGTTCCTGCAAAGCTGCAGTCACATAACATACATGTATGAGTCTCATTGGCACTGTAGCTTCACCTCTCCCTCCTACTCAGGGACCAGCAGGACTTAGTGACATGAGGCCTGATGCTCCCTAACCATATGCCCCTGCAGACAGCTGCAGAGACTGACCATGCTGCCTACACCATGACTCCAACACTGCCACCACAAACTCAGCCCTGCCGCAATCCCATCTGGGATCAGGAGATGCTTAAGGGCCAGTGAGAATGTTGGTCTCCTAGACAAGAGCATAAATTGTTGTGCAGCATCTCGAGTGCTGTCTGGATGTGTCCAGCTACGAAAGATGCTGGTGTGAATGAAAGCCCTGGCGGATGATGTGTAGCCTCCCTGTGCTCCAGTGGAGGTAACTGAGTACCCTGCTGTAAGCTGCAGTCCCTGGCCAAAGGGACAGAAGAAAGGGCTAAGTACCCACTAAGAGGAGATGTGGAGGTGTTTCGCTCATTTAATTTCATAGCTGTCAACACTAGCCTAAAACTGGGGGTAGAAAAGAAGTGAGAAGAAAAGCACTGTTTGCATAATCCTTTGGCAGTGAAATGGGCCAGGGTTCTTGTGGGAGAAGAGGAATTCAGTTTTTAAGAAACAAACAGCATTGCTGTACTAGGTAGTAGCTGGATAGTCCTGCTTTCCTTGAGAGTAGCACAGAAGTTTACTGTGGGTTTATATGCCTTGTCTTTTGTCCCCATGGTCTCTCCTCTGAAAAACACTGTAAAATGGAACATTCTTGCTGTTTTCTTTAAAGTAATCTGTAATTCTTTGGCCTTAATGCAAAGGGAGTCACCCATCTGTTTGGTTTGGGTTTTCGTTCTCTTTTCCACAAATGTCTTTGTTTGTGTTAACAGACAAATCTAATCATCCAGCTTGGAGGAGAGTTACGCAACTACAAACCTCCTGAGATTTCAGTCTAATAGCAAATCTTGCTTAATACCCCCGTGTTCACTTCTTGCTTCAGATTTGCAGCTCCTTTGGCATTACAGCTGTGTTCTTATAAAACAGATTAAACAGCAAAAGGAATGTTGAATGGAAAAGCTGTGTTATTTCTACCTTTCAGGACTTGGTGAAATGAGCCTGGCTGTGTTAAAACATGAGCTAAAATTCCCACTGGGAGCATTAGACTGAGTGATTCATATAAACACTTAAAGAAGTCAGCCTTGGTTGAGCTTCCTAGTCAAATAAGGTGGGTAATAGTACACAAGCAGCAGAGACCTTCTCCCCCTTCCTTTGGAGAGCACTGTTGATAGCAGCCTACTGTCGCTTATTGTCCCTGGAAAGCAGGAAGATGAGTATTGGGTAACAACAGAAAACCCGGGATTTGGTTAACTTTCCCATGAGGAATTGCGAGTATCTTTTCTGTGAAACTGCCTGGTGCTGTGAAACATTCTTCATCTGTGCCCTTGATGTGGGCCTTCTGGAGAGGGAAATCTCATCAACCTCTAGAAAAGCAGCTAGGTTTATGATCACTTTCTTTCACGGTTGACTTTCAAGGACAAAAACCTTATTAGAAGGAGGTCTGAAGAAAGGCAAGTTACAGGTATGTTCATTTCGTGTGTTGATAAAGGCACGGATGGAGTTGCTTTCTTTCCCTCTGCTCTGCTCTCTCTAGTTTTCAGGAGCTGTCGCTCAAACCCATCCTTCCTGTTAGCTTTTTGCCTCTACCCACGTGCTCTGTGTGGAGCCTGATTCTGACCTCAGCACCAGTGCTGCAGCACTGGCATGGCTGTGGAGGGTGTGAACTGCACTAGTGGTCGTGGGCTGGCAGTGATCCCTTGCTGTAATATTGAACTCTGCTCTCTATGAGCTGAAAAATTACCATGTGCTGGGACATCCTTCTGCACAACATCTTTTATGGGTGACTTGCATGGAGATCTTCCCTTGGCTTGCTTTGGGCCCTGCCTGCCCATCTTGGCAGAGGAGTCCCCTGTTGCTGGCTCTGGAAGCAGCTCTAGCATCAGCCGCTGCAAAGATGCTAGTAGAGCCACAGCTGGAACAAAGCACGTCGCTCAGAGAATAGAGCTGGGTAGCCAAGTTTCTGCAGCACTTCCAGATGTGAAGCAGGGGGGTTGGTTTTAGCCTATTTTTCAGATTTTTTTTCTAATTTTTTTTTTAAAGCATCATGCAAGTGCACTGGGAACAATTTGTACTGTTCGCTCACACTCAACTGCATGTTCCCAGTGTCAGCACTTATCATTTTTTTCTAGCTTTTCTCTAATGAAAGTCACATCTGTGTGTTGGGGCAGATTGGCAGCAGAGATCTTTTCCACTGAAATCCAAGGAAAAACTATCCCATTCCACTCTGTCATATGTGTGACTTCTGCCCTTGGCATTCAAGGTAATCCCATCCTGACAGACCACTCCAGGGACTGAGGAGGGGCAATGTCCATGGTCGCTCAACCCAGGAGGTAAAATTCTTTGTAACTTTGGGGAGGTTGAACTGAATAAACACTGTGTGATTTTTGCAAGAGTGCTCCAAGGAGGTGTGATTGCTGAGTAACTTCCCAACTGTGTGGACACTTGGGAGAAGAGGCTGCTGGAAAGTCACACAGGGTTTTATTTCTACAGGGAATCAGGAGCTCAGACCTAAGGCTCAATGCCCCTGTCAGCATGCTGCACTGGTGCTTTATCTTTGCCTTAATATGCATCTTTCCTCTGATTTTGTCCTGCCTGTAGTTTCAAGCAACCTCCTTAACAAATCCTACAGCATTTTCTGGGGAATTAACATAACCGTGAGGGGGATTAGGTTGCGAGAGGAACTAAAGAAACCTCCAGTGCAGCCTATCTATGGCTTCTTTTCAGGTGATAAGAAGTGTGTGTCATGATGCACAGGTTGCTGCTCCTTCTTCTCCTGGTCAGCTTCAGCTCACCTGCACCCAGGTTTTCCGTGAGTATCTTTCAGTTAGAGTCTGTGCAATCTCTCAATGGTTCGCCATTCCCAGTCATACAGAGATGGATGTTCCCTCACAAGAGGGATGGAGATCTGTAAGAGTAGAGCAAGAAAGCATCTACCTGCAATTAAAGGAATGTCACTCTTCTTGTACTGATAATACAGAGTTTTCACAGCATTAAGGGCTGTGCAGCTGTCTGGGTGACAGAATTGACATTGCTAAGAATTAAAAACAACAACAAGCTCTTTTTTAAAAATATATATTTTTGTAGCCAAAATATCAGCTCTTTTATCTTCCAGTTTTACACAAAGATGATTCTGGAACCTTGCTGGTTTGCCCTGTCTGCAGTGCAAGAGCCGAGTTTTCTCCCTCTTATCAATCTGAGCATTTTTGTAGTCTGCAAACCTTCCCTTTGAGCTCATTTAATGGGGGTCAAGACAAATTATTTTTGTCCAAAGTAAGTTTTTGTGCATCTGATCATATTCTGGCATGCTCTGATCAATGCCAAGGTTGTTGTAGAAACACCATTTTCACTGGATTCAACTTAACAGCTCATGCTGTGCAAGATTTGTGTATCTTAGCAAGATACGACCATCAAATCATTTTGATCCACAGTGGCAATATGACATGTTAGGGTCAAGAGGAGACAGATACTCCTCTCTCTGCCTCTCTGTACTTACCACTGACTGAAGCATGGGGGGGGGGTGTTTCATTTTCTCCATAGGATAAAGATGTCTGCCTCCTAGACAACAATAATTTAAGACAAAGGTTAAAACAACTTCAAGACTTGCTTTACTTATACGACCTGCAACTGAAGGACATCCTGGAGAACACTTACCACAGAACAAAAAGTGGGCTGTTCTCAGGCAACAGGAGCATGCAGCATGAGATTCTTTTACCCACAACCAGTGGAAATTTGATAGTTTATGACCAAGGTACAGTTTGCAGTAACGTGCCATAATGTTAATTTCTCCCAGCAGTGTCTCATGTGTCATATTTTATTTCTGCTAAAAGTTTTAAATTTTTTTAAGTGGATTGTATTTTAAAATGCAGATACATGGGAAGGAGAAGAGCTGACTAGTGGTGCTGGTAGCAGCAAATAGTCAGCTGGCCAATCTTTAGGCAGCTACCATCCAAGCACAACATGGACACCTGAAGCTGGGCTTCTCACTTGGGACTCTGCTGCAGAGAGGAACAGCCACCTCTCACGTTTTCCATTAGACTTAACTTTAGGCATCTGCTTTGGCAAAAGGTGGGCCCTGCTCTTGAAGAGCCCATTTCCTCTGAGTGACTTAGGGAAGTTCAGAGCGCCTAGCTCAGCTGCAGGCACTGAAACCTGTTTAGAGGAGCCAAGCCACTTCTGGGGGAGAGTAACAGGCATGCATGTTCTTTGGTGTTATTTTGAGAACATGGTCATAAATGGCATCTTCGCCTGTGGCCAAGATTTTATCCTTTGTGGGGATTACACTGAAAGTGCAGAACACTGAGGTCCTGAAAGGCTCTGTCCTGATACAGCCCTTGTAGAGCTGGTCACAGAAGCTTAGCCTCTTATTTTAGAATTGTTGTTCCCTGATTCTATCTGAAATACAGCTAAGGTTACTTTACTGTCCACATGGAAATTAGCTTCCCTGCGAATGATCTTGCTGACAGAGATGGTTTCAGTCCTCCATGACTATAATGTTATAGCCTCAGCCTAAGCTGCAGCTGTCCTGTATCTCACCAAAGATTTGGGAATGATTCCCTCAGAAGGCATGGCTGTAAAGGCTCTCGAGCCTTACTGCTCTTTGTCAGGCCCAGCCATTTGCAAAATAGCCTTGCTACTACATTGCTGAACCATTTGCTTTAATTTTCCAGGGCTTGCATAGCTATACACAGGCTAGCCAAGTGTTCTTGTCCCACACAGCCTCTCAGTGATGTCTTCTCTTGGTGGCACATATCCCTTTGCTTTCCCACCACACCATTTAACAAACAGATACCACTCTGCCTAGATTGCTCTGCAGTGTATAATCGGAAGAACACCAAAAGTGGCTACTACCGAATCAGGCCCAGAGCAGACCGAGAACCTTTCCTGGTGTACTGTGAGATGTCTGATGGAGGGGGGTGGACGGTCATCCAACGGCGGAGTAACGGCAGGGAGAATTTCAACAGGTGGGTGCATCGTTGTTGCATCCAGAGGGCTTTCAGTCAGGCCAACAGCTCCCACCCCTGTCCTGCTGCCTGACAAACCCCCACCCCTGTGAAGCAGGATATGCAAGACTATATATTAGTCTTGCATATTGGATGATTACTTAAGATTAGAGCAATCTGGTGGTACCTACTGGCAGCAAGAGGCCATTTTCAAATTGGACCTATCATATCCTTTCCATAGCTTTTCTGCATTTGAATGCATATTTGTTTTATCATTATTGAAGACTGTCAAAAGCTCCAAACTGGCAGGTATTTGCTGCTAGTGCATAGACTGAGATTTGTTGAACATACCTGTTTCCATATCAGGAATTATGTTCAGCATGTTGTAAGATTTATTACCGTATTTAGATAATTCAAAAAGATGCCAAACCAGATTGTCCTTTCTCTATACAAAGTCCCAGAGAGGTGACTTTCACACAGAAATTTACAGGAGGAGAGATGCTCTGGTAGCACAGTAAAGAAGAAATGTCCCCATGCAGATTATTTCACTATCACAGCACACACAGTTTCAGGGATTATCTAGTGCCTCTTAAAGTCTGTTCAGTCCATTGCAAAGCTACCTCAACTGACTCCAAGCTGGCTTGCCCAGAGAGTTATAGCTATCTGGCCATGGCAGTTCAAGTGAAAGGAAAACATCCCAAAGAGGAGCATTGACTAGTATGTAGGTCAGGTAGACTCAATATCCATAATAACAACATGAAAGTGGGAATAAACACAGGGTTACTAAAACTGGAAATGATGATACACAGGAAGTATATGTGAATATCAAAGATAATACATAAATCATGTGAATTATGACTTGGTGAAGAACAATATCAGGTGTTTTGCTGAAGACCAATGTGACAGCTTCTGCTTTCCCTTTTCATCTAACTGACAACCTCACCCTGTGAGCATCACATCTGACAGTTTGAAGGTTTGATCCCAATATATGTGTGTGCACAGGTTTAGCAGGAGAAAAAGTAAGCTGTGAGTTGTACTTACTTCTAAGGCAAAGTGACAAATCTCAGCTCAGCTTGTGATGAGTTGGATACTTTCAGAAAACAGTGTCTAGAAATACAGGTGAAATTTTACTTGTTACCATATCCAAGTGTCACAAACTACCTAATTCCCTCACATGCTGAAATTGATATTTGTATCTCACTGCAGGAAATGGGATGAATACAAACTGGGATTTGGGAGATTCCAGGGCAAGAATGACGAATACTGGCTGGGCAATGACCACATCTATGACCTGCTTGCTAGAGGTCCAAGTATTTTTCCTCTACAGATTTCTTTGTAATTTGCATTAGATAGTTCATCTAACAGGACACAACTTTATGTTTAGGAGAGAGCTCATTAAAGATTGAACTGATGGACTGGCATGGGGAAAGACGTTACGCAGTCTATGAAAATTTCCAACTTGCAAATGAGCAGGTAAGAAAGGGGGAGAGCCATGACTTGCTTGTTTTGGTCTGTGAGGGTGGTGCATCTGCATATGCAGCATCAGACCAGTATCAGGTTTGTAACTACAGCTTTGCGAAAGTTATCTTCTGTGGTTCCCTGGGCTTCCTAGTTTGTCTAACTGACAAACAGTCCTGGGAGCAGGGACATAAGCCTGGGATCTTTCCCTTACAACTGTGGAGTGTCGAAGTCACCAGGTGACAGAATAATGTGTGTATGCTCTCTTGCTATCTCTGCTGCGGCACTGAAGGCAGCTCTATGGTAGTCCATCTCTCTGCTGCAGGGCACAAAGAGGTATGTTCTTGCCTCTAGTCTCATGATTAAAAAAGTCTGCTGCGAGTGAGAAGACCCTTAGGGTTTGAACCTCTGCAACAAAATGGAACCCTATTCTCCTACTTCCTAAGGGAGTGTTTCAGACTGTCACATAAAAGGCAAGCACCAGAACAAAACCTCTCTACCTTGTTTTAAAATAAAACACTGAACTTTAATCAAAGCCTTGAAAGAGCAGTTGTAAGTTCCTATCTTGAAAAGAGGTACCTGTAGCACTACACCTCATGCTACAGACACAGAAAGCCCAAAGACAGAAACATCCTGTATTTCCATGTTTGCTTCCTAGCTGTAGACAGCATCCTGCTCCATACAGGTGCTGTTCTTTGCAGGCTTGCCTTTCTGAACACCACATGCAAGTAGCCCAAATAAACAAGGACATGAGTTCCATTGCATGGACCAGTCCTAGTACCAACTCCATCACTGCTCCAGAAATGTACACATTATGCTCAGTTTGTGATTAGAGCTTTCTTATTAAAAGTTTGAACAGCTTCATTTTAATACCTTATTGCCATTTTTCATAAAGAAAGGAGGACTATGATGACAGGAGAAAGCCCACAACACAAAAGTAATCATCCATCTCATATCAAATGTCTCTTAGACCTGTTAGCTGTGCACAATGGAACTATTATTCTAATTATTCCCACCAGGACCAGACCATTTAGCCAGAAATCAGATGACTTCTAGTCCTCGGAAGAGCAAAATGCCTAAGAATTTATTCTAGCTGAACAACTGATCAGTTTATAAAGGCAACTACTTGGCAGAATTTTTTGCTAAGTTTGTTCTTGGTCAGCTAGAAAGAGCCTTTCATCTTGCTGTAGAGTGTATGAAGTGGTTGTTGAACCACGACAAACCTGAAGCCCTTTGTAGCAGCAGCAGTAATTAGCAATCCCTTCTGGAAGTTTAAATCCTTCATTGATCTGCACTGGGATCATTAAAGCACGGAGACAAAAGTCAACCTTGATTTCAAAAGTGGATAAAATGGCGAGAGCAAATTTGATCTCAAAAATGGGAGGAAGGACCGAATGAGCTGATATCAAAGACATGTGTCACATATTCCTGCAGGACAATTACAGGTTATGGTTTGGCACGTATTCTGGTAACGCTGGCGACGCTCTGTCTGCTGGGAGCAATTTTGAAGATCAGTGGTCAGCCTCTCATAGAGGGATGCAGTTCACCACATTTGACAAGGATCACGATCGATTCCTGGCAGGCAACTGTGCATCAGAGAATAAGGGCGGTTGGTGGTTTAACAGGTATGGAAAATAGCTGATTCCTCTCGGATGAGTCGAGTGTGGGTGGCTGTACAGCTGAGAGGACTTGCCTGCCTTACAGCAGCTGGAGGTTGCTGTGTTCATTTGCCACCTTGCACAGCCAAACCTAAGATGTTCACACCTACAGATCCTCAAAGGAAAGCAAACTGCTTCTTTCATTATAGCAAAGCAGGTAAGTTGAATTCATTTTAAGAAATGGGCCACAGGTAAGTTGCATTCACTTTAGGAAAATGGGTCAGAACAAATGCATAGGGGCCAATGACCTGGAAGGAAAAAAGCCCAATTAAAATTCCTAAAAGTGCTTTGGGTTATACTCCAGAAAAGAAAACAACTGTACCCATAGCAAGCTGAAGCATGTACAAAGGATATTTCTCTCTTGTGGAGCATGTCTAGGGGGTGAGCTATCCCATAACAGATGTGATGGTATATTTGCTAGTTGGGCATATGTCACACATCAATGGGCAGGGACTCAGGTTCACCTGCCCTGGGACCATGGACACACCACTCTCAGTTTTTCTCTGCTTTACTGCAGGATGAGCCCCTTTGGCAAGACCCTCATCACATAACAATTGAAATCAGTGAAGCTACATCAATAGTAGGATTCACCTTCATTAAAAGACATCTGCATTTTTAAGTGTCAATATGGAGCTGCCTACACTTGAGCTAGAGCCTAACAAATGGCACTACACCCCTCTGTTTAGGCACTGTGGTTATAATGTCCATAATTAATACACCTGAAGGAGTCTACAGGCTGAATTCTGTGACTAGTGTAGGTGTCTGCTTTAGTATGACCCATATACTTGTTTGGGTTCCACTAAGTGCACTAACCACATCTCCATCCCACCCTGGTATTTCTAAATGTATGTTGTGTGAAAACTGTACTGCACTGCAATGATGCAATATCTTCCCACGCTAAGCATAATTCCCTTTTTCCCTCTCCTACATCGTCACAAGGTGCCATGCCGCAAACCTCAATGGACGATACTACAGAAGAGGAAGGTACAAGGGCTCCCATGATGATGGCGTGGTTTGGTCTACGTGGCATGGGATGTGGTACTCGCTGAAATATTCAGCCATGAAAATCAGGGCTCCGTTCTTCATTGACAGTGAGAGTGGAGATGGAGAGAACAGTCAGGGAAGCTGAAACCTGCTGCTTTGGAAAGAGGAAAAGTACAGGCTGAAAAGAATTGTATAAGTTGATAGCTGGTTCTCTGCTGCTGCCAATTGCCAAACCTGCACTGTGATAACTGGAGTTGCACCTGCTTCTGCTACCTGAAGCTAACAGCAAGAGTTGTTTGAGCATAGCCAGACAAAAATTTAACAGCAAACATATGGATCTCAGTCATGGGATAACCACAGATTTCTTTTTCAGCAGTTTTCAGGAATTTGTTGGAAAATGTTTATTAAAAGCTCTCTGGACTTCGAATGATCAAGCTAATAACCATGGCAGTGTTGGATCAAGGGTTGGACTTGATGATCTTGGAGGTCTTTTCCAACCCAGTTCATTCTATGATTCTATGATTCTAAGCATGTCCTGTAATCTATCTATACTCTTCGAGGTCTAAACCTTTCTCATCTTGATTTTAACCATCAGCACTTCAATTATGAGGACATCAGAACAGAAAGAACAAAGTAATGGAAAATTGGACTTCATCTAGCCTTTTACTAGCGTTTTGTTCTGCCTCAGGAGATGTTTCTAAGCAACTCTCCCTATGGTTCTAAATTGCCACACTTCAGTATCAGAGTGCCTCTGGAGAGTGTGAAACCAAACGTGGATGGATGTGCTCCAGCTGCTAACGTACATCCAGACTAAGACTACTTCAAAGTAAACCTCCACAATAGGGACAATGTGGGCACTGGGTTCCATTGCCAACAACTTCCTGCTGGAGATCCACTGCTACAGCACACTGCAACACATTAATGCAAAGACAACCCTGCCGACCAGATTTAAGCCCCAGACTAAAATTAGGCAGATTTTACTAAATTTAGCTGAGCACAGATATTCTTAGGAGTTCCTAAAATGCAGACATGATTCATTTGTACATTCTCCTGTAATTTACAAGATGACTCTGAGTTAGTGAAAAGGAATTAGAAAGTAGAAAGTGGTTGAACCACAGGGCAAACTACTTTCATTGTCTCATTGGAGTGAAGCAAAAGAGCAATACAAATGACTGAAAGAAATGGAACACTGAAAGTTTATTTTCCACAAGTTGTTAACAGCAACGGTTAAAAATGAACAGCAGTATCAGCTTGATGCAAGTCATTTAACTATTGTGATGTAGAATAAGCCTAATTTTTTATGATTTACAATATTTTTTTTAACTGGTAGCTCTTTTCCATTTATTGGCTTTTAGATCTATACATATTGTCATTTCTATGTACATCCATAAAGAACAAAATAAAACCAGCTGAGTAGGACTTAATACTTTTTATCTGGTTTTTAACAGTAGGAACTTGAGCAGAAAGTTGGATTAAAATCTTGTAAAGGTCATAATATGAGAAAAGCATTCCTTTGGTATTGGCTCCAATTCTTTTCTACTTGTTGAAAGGGTCTGCAAGGTAAGTTTAATTTCCATGGCTAAAGCTGTCCAGGAGACAATGCAGAGACACGTGGTGAAGGTTCAGTATAAAATTTGGTTTGGTTACTCTGCTTTGTCAAGAGGTAAACCCTGTTCTCACTGCTTCCTAGACATCCCAGTGATTACAAATGTGAACACTGGAGTGCAGTGGGCAGCACTCTAGGGAGCCATGTTCCTAAAGTCTGTGCCCTTCACAAGACTGCAGCCTCACCCTTTTCCCAAGCATATCCACTTGGAATGAAATGTGCACCTACCTGTCTGAAATGAGGTTGCCCTTGTGAAGAAAGAGCTGCAAAGAGCTAGCGCTTGCTATTTCCCTTCTGATCAATACTTCTGTGTTTTACTAGGGTAAAATCTTAGTGCAAGGTTGTAACTGCATGTTGGGAACATAAGAAATGACTTTGCACAGATTATAGTTGTGTGGCCACTGATGAAGTGCTGAGGGCACTAAGGACGGCTTTTGTCTACATTGAAGACCCAGAGAAATGTGAGTGAAATCAGTTAATGCCTTCTGGCCAGTGATGCTAAATCCCATTTTTCAGTAGAGGGCTAAGGAAACAGGGTAAAGATTACAGACTGCAGAAATTACAGCACTGAAGGGACAGCATTAGCAATTTCACAGTTCATTAAGCACCCAATAACCCATCTGATAATGAAGTATCAAGCTGGAAATAAAGTCAGCAGGGCTTAGTCAGACAACTGCCACCTGGTCAAGTTCCCCAGTGAGTGAGCAATGAGCGATGTAAAGTCCAGACTATGGAGCCTGTTTCCCTCTATGTCAGTATGGAAAGGCAGGCGTTATTGTTGGACTGCCTTCAGCCAGCATCAATGTTATGGTGCTTTTTTCTGTCTCTGAGAGAGAAAGAGGGGACAAGGTATGACAAGCTGGGAGGGAAGGGGTCTGCCTTGTTGTCTTTGTAAAATGTACCTAAGCACATTTAATGCTTTACAGGAGCTGTTCTGAAGACAGCCCAACACTGGGAAATTTGCAGGAAGCAGCATCTGATTTAGAGCAACACTCCCCCTTCTCTGCCCTCCTGTGGCACAGGGGACCCCCTTGGAGATGGAGAGGTCACAGGGCTTTGTGGCGGAGCCTTAAGCTCCCACAGCAAACCCCAGGAAGCATTTCAGAACCCCCTTTATGTCAATAAACAGGGTAAAATGCCACTAGCTGAGTACTTATTTGATCTGAAGGCTACTGCCAAGCTCAAATCACTCCCACTAAAGGTTAGGGGAATGCTTGCTGAATGTTGCTGTGCTGTACATTTGATCTCCTGTTTCTCCAGGGTTTCCCATGCTGAGAGGCTCAACAAAGCTTAAAAGATACTGTAGCCCTGCAGCTCCAAGTCTGACAGATCTCTGCTTCAGGGTGAATGTGCTTCATACTGCAAAGTTTACCTTATTACAGGGGTGGTGAGTAACCTGAGCAGCAATTGCTTCAGAGGTTTGATTTCCAGCTCATTTAAGTCAATTTAAAGACTCATTACATTCGACTGCCTTTGGATAACTCTTCAAGCGTGGACACGTTCTTACATGCTTTAAACAGCACTTCAAGCTGACAGCTTGTGGGAACGCATAGCCAGTAAAATGCCATGCTGGGCCAAAGTCTGAACGCCAATGTGCCCTGTTGGGAAATGTGCCCTGTGCTCCTGGGAAAGAGGGAGCTCACATCACCCTGCAAGTTGGATCTGCTACTCCAGCAGCAGCTTCAAAACTTCACCCATCAAAAAGGCCATTCAAACAGCCAGGTTTGATTCTGTGGCCAAATGCTGAGTCTTTTTGCTCCTAGGTTGTCACAGCAAGTGACACCGTGTGCCTGTCAAACTACCTGTGCATGCTTTGGACACTTCAGTGGGGTGCCATAACTGGCAGCTGACACACGGTGATGCTGCTCTTCCTTTAAAATTGCTGTTGCTTTGTGGGGGGTGGGGGAGGGGGGAAGTGTGGGATTGGGAAACCTATGTTTCTGCTCAGAAAGCCCATTTTGAGAAAGATAGCACCTCCTTCCAGAGAACAGAGCACATGCTAATTTTTCCTTCACACCCACAAGGCATGTTAAAGGGCATGTAGGGTTGGGCTCCTTATGGGAGAGTTGATTTAAGACTGACCGTCTAAGATTTAAGATTTAGTCGACCACCTAAATCTATCTTTTCTCATACCTACCTCCATGGGCAGCACCTCCTCTTTTCTTGCTTTTGCCCACTAGCATCACCTTGCTCTTTCCAAGTCCCTGGAGAGACAGCTATCCCAACAAATGGCAAGCAAAGTCTCTAAGTAATTCTTTCTGGCCTGAGCTCTGGCTCTGTTGTTAACCAGGTTTCCAACCCAACTCTGAATACTTGCAGCAACGTATAATGGCAAATTTGTGATCTCTAGTTTTAAAGCACAACAGATAAACCCACCATGGCTGTTGTACTTCACTGTTACTGCTCTCTACAACTACCTGAAAGTAGCTTGTAGCAAGGTGGGGGTCCGTGTCTTCTCCCAAGTAACAAGTCACGGGACCAGAGGAAATGGCCTCATATTGTGCCAGGGGAGGTTTAGATTGGATATGAGAAAAAAATTCTTCACTGAAAGGGTGGTCAGGCATTGGAACAGGCTGCCCAGGAAAGTGGTGGAATCACGGTCTCTGGAAGTGTTCAAAAAGCATGTGGATGTGGCACTTGGTGATATGGTTTAGTGGTAAACACGGTGGTGTTACATTAATGGTTGAACTTGATGATTTTAGAGGCCTTTTCCAACCTGAATGATTCTATGAGTCTATAAGATTCTCTGTGAATCACCAGATGTTGTCATTTTATTTTTAATTTTTGTTAACATAACAGGTATTAACCAAATAATCTTGTTGTTTGCTGGTTTTGTTCTTAATTTATTTTGATCTTGCTGTAGTAGTATTGTTGTCAATATATTTACATTTAAAAAAATTACTAAAGGAAAGGATAATTATGGAAAGGATGCATGATTCAACAGTTCTCAGTGCTTTTTACAGGTAGCATTCTGCAGTAACATTTCTGCAAGGACTAAAATCTGATCATCTGTTTTCTTTGCCCTCCCTGTAGCATGCCTTTTCTAAAAATTTCTTGCAAATATCTGTACATCATTGTTTTCCTGGCATAAATATTGACAGAAAGAAAATATTAAAGTCTTGAATGATGAAAAATGCCTCCTCAATTTTAAATTCACTCCAAGTATTCAGCATCAATTGTTTGCACTTCCATGCAACCCGCTAAAAAACCCTCACCAGATGACTTATTTGAGCAACTACAACAGTTCAATGACGCTAACCAGAAAAATGATAAAAACTGCTCACCACTAGAAGTTTGTCCTTTCTAAATGGGAAATCATTCATTAATCAGGGCAGATGGCTGAGGATGCTGTACAATGGATGCCTCAGTATGTCACAGTCTACTAGTACGGAGTCCACAAGGTGTGAAAGGCTAGATCAGTGGCACTCATCATCTTTGATTCATGAAACATGACCGCTTTAGGCAATAAAATCTATTGGCTATTCCTGGGTCATGTCTTCACTAACATGTGCTTTCCCAGCGTATTTTGTGTGTATTGTACACACATGCATACGAAAAAATATTATATGAAAGCACTTTTCAGTAATTAGAAAGGAATATGTTCCCACAAGACAGATCTGGGGCATTATTCCCTCCTGCTCCATGTGAAGGTAACGTGATTCCTGTTGCTTCTTCTACCAGAAGCCAACTGATCCTGCAGATTCTCTACCAGGCATGCCCCTCCTGCAGGGCCGCAATGAGTCACTCAGATCACGAGCTTCTCAATGCTTAGAGTACTTGTTTCATCTTCTTCATTTGAACCAAAATACCCAGGGAGGTCAATCATCTGCTGCTCTGCCTCTGTTAAGCCAAAAGTACTATTATCATAAAAGGCAAACTCAGGGTCCAAGGGGAAGCTCTGGCACTTGTCCCTACGGTGCTGGGCAGGGCTTACACTCAGGCCTCTCTGGGAATTATCTTTGCCATTTGAGCCTGTTTCTTTCCGCCACATGCCTCTGGGGTTAGGTGAAGGGCCCCTCTTACTTCGGCTGGGCTCAGGTTTTTCAGCTGCCTTCTCCTGACCAGCAGGCTGGCGGTCAGTGATCAGGTCCAGCTTCCTCACTGGAGGACCTGCCCTGTGGTGGGACTTTGTGCCATGGCCCTGTGGTTCACACCCCAGCACAGTGTTGTGGGGCTGATCCAGCTTTTCACACGCTGGATTAGCATTTCTGGATTTTGGCCGTGTCCTGTCCTCCAAGCTCTGGTCCCATGTCCTGGTCCTGGAGTTGTAGAGAGGAGTCTGTCGGGGTGTGAGAGTGGACATGCTTCTCTCTCTGAAAGGCCTAGCCTTTTTAGTTTCATGGAAACTGGCTGTTCTTCTAAACTGTGAGTTTCTGTGACAGCCCCTCTCGGGCAAGTCTGCTCTATTATCCTGGTGCTTGAAATGAGCTCTTCTTACTAGGGTTTGGGTAGGGCTCACTGCAGGATTGGCCTGTGAGAATGGAAAATCCAGCCTGGGGTGAGAGCTTTCCCCCAGGAATTTGTGCTGACTGGCTGGCTGGTCCAGAAATGGAGATTTGATCCGAAATTTGTTTGCTGCTACCTCCTCTTGGCTTTCCTGGCTCAGGGGAAGCATCGTGGTGGCACCAACAACTGTGTCCGTGAGGGGATTCTGAGAGACATGGTACACCTTAGTGGTCTCCGTCAGGCCTTTCTTCTTCATCTCTTTCAGCTGCTGTTGTGCCAGGCGGTAGCTGAAAATTGGAGGGATTATTTTTTGGGCATTTGGCTGCAAGTTTTCACTTCCAGAGGCATCATCTTCTTGGGCAAATTGGAGGC